TATTTTAAGTGGCTCGGATTGTAGTCTGTCAGTAGCTGCAGGTTCTGTGATGATCCGTTTTTCCAGCAGAATAAAATCAGATGAAAGTTGATGAAGATGAAAGAAAGATGAAAGTCTGGAACGAGCAAATCTTCCTGACCCAAATGGCCTTAGACGGTTCTGATGGTTCTGCTCTGTGTGTTCAGACCCAGCAAATCACCCCCCAGCTGGCCCTGCAGGTTCTCCTCCAGTTCGATAAAGCCATCAACGCAGCGCTGGCCAGCCGGGTCCGGAACCGGGTCAACTTCAGGGTGAGTCTACGTTCCTGTTTGTCTGGTCCGGAACCAGAACCAGGTCTGAACCGGGCCTCCTGTTTCTCCTCAGGGTTCTCTGAACACCTACCGGTTCTGCGACAACGTTTGGACCTTCGTTCTGAATGACGTGGAGTTCAGGGAGGTCACAGAGCTGGTCAAGGTCGACAAGGTGAAGATCGTCGCCTGCGACGGAAAGAGTGAGTCTTTGCAGAACCACAACAGAACCTGAGAACCCAGATCAGCTGCAGGTTAGCAGCAGCTGGACCGGACCCGCTCAGCGACTGAAACTAGACGGGTCGGCTTCAGAGGAATTCTGAAATTAAGCCCGATCCATTCTACCAGACCTGAAAATTCTATCAGAACCACTATAACAGCAGGTCCAATCACAGCTGCAGTACCAGGTTAAACCAGGAGGCGGAGTCCTTTTCCATATGTCCCCGTGACAGCGTGCGTCCCCCTGACGGCGTTTGTCCCCCAGACGCTGTTTGTCCCCCTGACGCCGTTCGTCCCCGGGAAGCCGTTCGTCCCCGTGAAGCCGTTTGTCCCCGTGAAGCCGTTTGTCCCCGTGACCGTTTGCGTCCCCCGTGACCGTTTGCGTCCCCGTGACCGTTTGCGTCCCCGTGATCGTTTGTGTCCCCGTGAAGCCGTGCGGCCCTGTGAAGCCATTCGTCCCCGTGAAGCCGTTCGTCCCCGTGACCGTTTGCGTCCCCCGTGACCGTTTGCGTCCCCGTGACCGTTTGCGTCCCCGTGATCGTTTGTGTCCCCGTGAAGCCGTGCGGCCCTGTGAAGCCATTCGTCCCCGTGAAGCCGTGCGTCCCCGTGAAGCCGTGCGTCCCCGTGAAGCC